ACAATCGTCTGTACCTTCCCTGTAGCGCCACAGTAAGTGAGCTTGATCTATTGTTTGCTTCGAGTTCGAGCATGAAGTACCTCTTCCTGATAGCTCTTTCAGCTGCTGACTCTGTCAACGGAGGCCAAGCCTTTCCATACTGTTCGAATTCTGACGGCTTGAATCCAGTATGGGTCACGCTCTCCGAACCGTTATGAAATTGCAAAGCTCATTTTTTCGACGGTCGTTCTAGCAGTCTCGTTTCGTTTTGGAGAGGGTGGGGGTATTCAATGACTGATTGAGCCTCCATTTATCACCGCTTCGGTGAATTGTCAATTGACGAGCCCAACGATGTTTTGAATGAGCCATAATTTGCAGCGGTCTTTCCTACGATCTTTCCTCCAGATCTGTGCTTCGTAGCCGTTTTTGCTATTGCAGACATCGGCTGATCTTTGCAAAAACCTCTCTTTAGTGCGCCATGAAGAGTTGGGACAGACGATTGTCATGTCGAGATGCCTATCATTCTACATACAAAAACTTTACGATGACAAATTATTACTGCCATGATGTCTTCAAGGAACAGTGCTAAATGACATCTGACATCTGCTGTTGCGAAAAAATGTCATAAAATTGTAGCTCAGTCAAAAAAGAGCTGAATAATGCAGCACAACAACAGTTGGTTGCAAATTGAATCCGTTGTTGCAAATCAAATTGTTGCTCCGACGTCGCCTTAACGAATTTAGGCTCAACACTGACGTCGTATTATGAAATGACACCCTCAACACATATATGTAATAATATTATAAGTAAGATTATTACTGGTATCCATCGGCCGTTTGAGTTATCAAGTCAAAAGTGTGGCTCACCATGAGGCGCAAACGAGCTCATCTGGTATGACTGGGTCAGGCGACACACGAATGGCTAATGGTTTGTTTGATAGATATCCGCTTCCGAGAATCAGAGCGTCGAGTGCAGACCACACACCACAAGTGACGACGGCCTCCACAAAATGTAAATGTTTTCTGCCAATGAAATGATTAGCCTGTTGCAGTTGTATTCTATCAGTTGTCACTAATTACAACTATCATTTACCAACTATCAGCTATCACTATGAACTACTACCAGATTTACTTGGAGGCCGTCGTCACTTGTGGTGTGTGGTCTGCACTCGGCACGCTTCTGGTTTCTGTGACGGAAAGTAGAAATGGTTGAGGACTTCGTTTTAGTTTTTGCAAGGCGCCACGAATTGCGACATATTTTCGGATTAATATGAATACTCATATTTTACCTATTTGAACATCTAGTAGCCTAATTATGCCCGTCTGCTATGGCTTCGACGCTTTTTCGAAGGCCGATTGCTATCCTCCGTTACGGGTGAAATATACAGAGCAGGCGAAACGGGAAATTGAAATGAAATTTCAGCTAAATTCCGGATCTACTGGAAAATTCGCAAAATTCTGGCTCACTCGAAAATGCACTCTTAGTTACATACATTATAACCTGAGACAAATGAGACCTTCCTGTGGAAAAGTCCTCCATTTTGGCTCATCCTGGATCCTAAGAATTACGGCTCGCGATTTCTCAGGCCACAATAGCGCTGCTACTACATATAGCTTTATTTGACAGCCCATTTCCTTTCAAAATTTTATCTTGGCGAGAAACTGATGTGATATGATATGATGTGATATGATATGATATGATATGATATGATATGATATGATATGATATGATATGATATGATATGATACGGCATTGATTGGTAGTGTTGAGAATATCACTTGTAAACAGCAATTTGCAGGCACTCTGAAGGTCTCACTGAGAAGGTTTGTCCGACGTTTTGGGTGGAGAGAAAAAGCGCTGACGGACGAAAAGAGTTTTTCTTGCTGAAGTCATCAAAAAAGCACAGGTACGGCTTCGACTGCTTCAAAGTAACGGGAAAATCTTAGCTGATCTGTGGTTTCAGTACGGCGGTCCGGTTTTGCTCTTCCCTGAAGGCTACTGCTCCAATAACACTCAAGTGTTGCAGTTCAGAAAAGCCATTTTTGAAGAAGGAATCAAGATCTATCCGATAGCTATCAAGTGAGTCTTAGCTAGCGAGGTCCTTCTCTTTGACTGATATGTTGAGTGATTTCAGGCAGGACAGCCGATTTGGTGACTCCTTTTGGCATGAGAACGCGTTCAATTGGTACCTGTTCAGAGTGATGTGCAGTTGGGCAAGCCGTGAGGCGTCACTTATTTGCTGTAATTTTTTCGCTCCTGCTAATCCGCTTTTACTTATAAATGATCGAACTGATAAGGTTGATTTTAGCCCCTATGACGCGGCTTCCACGCGAGACGAACGTGCAGTTCGCTGCCGAGCTCAGGCGGCGATCAGCGACGTCGTTGGAGTCCGAGCAGGAGCGTTCGGTGGACTGCATGTGGTACAGGTGAGGTTTCTCGATGTTGCTTCCCCTTAAAAATGCGTGTAATGACCTACGCTCATAGAGACTATTTATTAGATTATATTAGAATAAAATTGGATAGAAATCCACTCTTGAAAAGACAGCAGGATGCAAGGCGTGTCAGGGCTAGAATTTACGGAGGCTCCTCCGTAACGGGTCAAACTTGAGGTTGCCTCACTCGTGAAGAAAGGCTGATAGTCCACCCCACCCTCGGGATCTGTTCAGAGTTATACATTACAGTGAGAAAATATCGAACCAAACATGACATCCTTTCCTTATAGTTCCTCCGTGAGGTGGGGGGAGGTCACAAACCCGTCCCCTCACTCTCCTAGTGGCCGCAGTCCTACACTGGTCACACCTGCTCCCTCCCCTAAAACCTCCATAACCCAACTACATTACGAAGTTCGAAACGTTAATAAGCCCTATCAGAGCACTGGGAGTTTATGTTGGGTCAACCGCAAACTGCTAGCCCAGCAATGATTACGGAATTTTGGGATACCTTTGAACTTTGTGAGGGAAAACTAAGCAAGTTCCAGCAAGCTCTTCTTGCGATTTCCATTCAAAAAAAATATAGGCATCGTGCTAAGCGACCAAACTCTTCCTTTGTAGTACACAAACACTGCAGCAGGGAACTCGGCCCAGTGGATCGGTTGCACGTGTTACAAACATTGGTTTCAGAGCCGAAAAAGGCTCCAGCACTGGATTCGCCGAGGATAAATTCGTTTTCCGTTCGTAGCGCCAGATGAACGTAGTAAGGGCGCTCTGCAAGCTTCACTCCTGCGGAGTCATGCAGTTTATGTGGTGGGGCTTTCTTCGGGGAGAAGTGAAAGCCGAAGAAGACCATCAGCGGGGTGCAAGTGGGGTACTGGATTTGTCATATGCTGTAAGTGCTACGTTCACATCGGTTGGTTCCGACGACATTGTTGGTGATGATCAAATGTGAAGCGCATCTCCTCTACGCTTTTGGAGATACTTATACAGTATCTTCAGTCGAATTGCAGCCTTCAAATTCGAACAGAGAAGTTGGATATCAATGATTGTATCTAGCACCATGTATGCCGTCATCGGAATCGGGACAAGCATGCGACTGGTCCGCGAAAAAACTCTCTGTTGCATTCACGCGTTTCTCATGGGAGAACACATGGGGGGAACCCTTCTGTAACTTCATCCAGCCAATTCATTACACTAAATATTGTTGCATGGCTATGGTCACAGGGTTATAAACAAGATCAAGGAAGTGTCCATTTGCATACGTAATAGCATTTAGTTCTACAGTAGCAACAGCAACAGCATTTGTTTTCTGTTTACTGCGCCTTCCAAATGGATGCGCCGTGCTCTCGACCTCCACTCGGTGGTCCTGGGATATCTTGCTTGGAGAGAGATATTTTCTTATGAATTCGGGTCAAATTCACTCGAAGGAAAAGAACGTGATGCTTCCTACGGAGACAGAGTGATTTGTTCCACATCATATATTGAGCTGCCCTCAACAATCACGTTGGGAAATCATGAGGTTGAACCGACTCCTCTGGCAGCTAACGATCACTAATCTGACGGTGATGGTCCTCATGATGTTCAACCTAATTGTCTTTGCACTCTCGGAACTGCACCCTCAAAACACTAAACGGGCGTCAAGCTCACACATGTCACGCTAGCGCGGCAAAAAAACTCGGAATTCCCCACATTCTGAGAGAATTTACAGAATCCCTGGAACCTGCCTTGCACTACTATATCTTCGCCATAATTGCGGCCATTTCTTCCTCTCCCACGAATTAAGGACTAAAGGATAAAATAAGGACGAAGGGTAAAATAAGGATGTCTGTTGGAGAGTTTTCGAAGGATCGACCAGGCGGAATACATGTGCACAGTGAAACCGGTACGGTACCTTTCACAATGCACCGCCGTGCGCCGCCACGTCATGTCGCAACGGCCATGAAATTTTTATGGAACCAACGGATTTGATCGCTGCACTCACCTCTATTGGAGAGCTTACGGGTCTCTTACACTAAACGCGAGGCGAGGTGGCTGTCGCAGATTTACCGAAAAAAAGGATAAAGCATTTGCCGTTGATCAATCCCTTTTTGGGATGCGGCACGCATTCTACTTCCATTTGTACATTCGTAGTGGCGTTTGAATGCGATGTGGCCTATACAATGACTTGCGGGGGCCAGCCGATGTACAAGTCAGTGTTTTTATCCTCCCAGACAAGTCTGGTACCAATTAACCGACCCCGGAGGGATGGAAGGCTTGGTTGGCCCGGGCGACTCACGACCCAGGATTTGATCCCCGGACCGCTCGCGTGGTGAGCGCGCCACTTGTCACTACACCACTTCCGCCCCCATGTCAGGCCTATGTACACTGGGGGCACGGACAGGTGGCCAGCTCGCCGAGGTGGCCATGTAGCATTCCTCCCCCCCCCGTCGGTTGGATGAGACTAGCGGATACTCTATCGTGTGATGTTCCATTAACATTTCGATCGCTCGCCCGTGAACTTTTCAAAGTACTTTGTTCATATCGGTTTAATTCAAAATTTTACAACTGGTAGTATAGCTTGTATATTTCAGTAAAACTGAACAACGTCGTCTGCTGGAACTTCAGAAGGAGGTGTGCGCCACAGCGTTGCTGTCTCACTTCCAGGAAACCACAGAGAAGACCGACAGCGACGATGGCTATTTCAGCATCGGTTCCACGACTGCTAGCCAGTGTGGCTCACCGGATCACGGAGAAATGCGATAGTACTTTCACATTAGCTACCTAATCAGGATCACTTTATGTATAATGCTTGTGTTCATTCATTAGGTCGTTCAATGGCGAAGTGAAACTTCGTTGGGCAATGAAGTGCCAAATAAAGTAAATAAGAGTTGTTTATTTATTTCGAATAAATTGACTGATTTGTTTGAATGTGTGGAGACCTGATGCGTTTGTTGACAGTTTGATCCGAGTCAAATTTTCCAATCCCACGCCTTCCACAGAAATGGTGATTTCCTGAGATGGCTTCATGCTTGTTGTTTAAGAGTACCCGCCTTGACCCCATCGCGACCAAGGGGCCGTACGAATCGCCACATTAACAAGACCTGGAGCTGCCCCACACCTCTAATGTCGTTGACTTTCTCGCTCCAAATCTAGCATCTTTGTTCTCGTTGAAGGCGCCTAACTGGACGGCGTACCGACGTTAACACCGATGCCCGGTCCTTCCCAGTCCCCGCGGTACAACAAAGCACCACGATGGTAAACACGGCAGGTCTGTAATCAGTTGTCTTCGTCCGGCAGGTTGGTCCCCAATGTGAGTTTGCCAACGCTTATACTCCAAAAGGAAGTGAACACGATGGCTGGAGGGTTAAGCGGTTTTGATGGCGTCACAAGGCGTCATTTTTGGAAATTCATAGGAAGGTGGCTCAACCTTGATCCCAGCGCGCTGAGGAATTCACTGCCTTGAAAAGAGACAGTTTCCCGTTTGTCGTAGTGAACTGAAGCAGCCACTCCACTTGCCTCGTCGTAAACGGTTGTCTGTAATAGGTACATCACAAAACGGCTTTCTTCCACGTGCTTGTGAAAAATTCCGAAATCGTATCGGCTGATGGCAAACAATGTCGAGAAAATCCGATAAAGCTTTATTCTAGGGGAGAACTAGTAATATGACTAGTTATGACAGAGACTGAAGCAAGTGGATCTGAGAACTTTTTCAACTGCTTCGAGCCCAATCCGAGTTGACACCAATTGCTCGTAACTGAAACGCGTGAAATTATCTTCGATCTGATCCTAGTCGTTAAATTACGGTAACCTGGTTCATTGCCTGGCAAAGAACTTTCAGAACAAGGCTCACTTCGTCTCGCCCAAGCAGCAGATCGACGTGGATGGCTCTAAGTACAGTATCTCGGCAGTCGATCATCGCCAAACGTAACCTTTCAGCCTGGAAAAACAAATTTAGCCAAAATAGCAAGTTAAAATTACCACACGGACCTGCTCAGTCTTATTGAGAATGATGGCGTTGGTTCGTTTCTGGGATAGCTCTTCCAGCATGGATTCGTACTCCGTCAGCCTTTGTGTAGCTCGTCGACAGATCATTCCTTCCACGTCTCGGTCCTCCTGCAAATCTACTGGAATCTTGGAAATATTGAATAGCTTCCCTTACTGAATGTTGAATAATATTCTCCGTTGATTCCCAGCAAGACACAAGTCGCAGACAAAAACAATTATTCTGGGTAATTTGACCAATTCAGTTATAACATACAGTTCCCAATGAAATTCTGAAGGTCTCAGCAACTTTCCTCAAATTGCCTAAATAATCGAAGCTAAAAGGATAAAAGGATAAAGCATTTGCCGTTGATCAATCCCTTTTTGGGATGCGGCACGCATTCTACTTCCATTTGTACATTCGCAGTGGCGTTTGAATGCGATGTGGCCTATACAATGACTTGCGGGGGCCAGCCGATGTCAAGTCAGTGTTTTTATCCAGACAGAGTCTGGTACCAATTAACCGACCCCGGGGGATGGAAGGGCTTGGCCCGACGACCCATGGCCCTAGGATTAACCTCTTGCAATGTAAGCGCCACTTGTCACTACACCACTTCTGCCCATAATTGAAGCTTAGGCTTGAATAAATTGAATGGGGGTAGATGTGAATGGATATTGGTTCCCTATCTGCCATTTGCAGCAGAATTCCTATGGATGGTCCTCCGAAGTAACTCTGAAGTTACCTTCAACCAGGCAATCAGCAGTATCCTAGTGACACGAGATCTCCATATTCATCGCAGAGAGAGAGCTAAAAGCGCCAACCTACTAATGTGGTCGCACTGTGTACTGGAGAACACCGACAAACGGCCCAACGGCTTGCGACGACACAGCTCATGCGGCCTCAATTTTCTTGTTCGCACAGCTTGTTGTCTGGCCCTGTTCAATCTGTTGCGATCTCTCTCACCTCCACTACTCCTCACTGTCAGCGTTGATTTCTCCATTAGTTTGGTCCTGGGGCATGCCTTTAAGCGCTAAGAATGCAAATTTCTTTCCTTAGCGCTCCGGGTGAAGTTTATGAGTGATTAGCAAATATGGAGGGAAACTGCCCAAGGGTTATACTGCTGTGTAAAGACAAGTTTTTTTTGCGAACAAAGAATGGGAGAAACTAGGAAATCGAAATATGTTTCATATATCGGGCCATTGGCAAAAACACGTTGAGCGTAAACGCTGTCTTGCCGAGCGCAGTTTTAATTCTCATCCCAGATCCAGACATCTCTACGACATTCTTCCAGAAACTTAATTTTTCGAATCATATAATTTAGTAACCGATAATTGACACTCGAGTTGTCTAGCAAAACCTCGCTTGGCCAGATCGAACACGCAGCTTCGTTAAACTCCAATAAGAACTAGTCGTAACTCGAACTGCGGAACATCTCATCTTAACCTCCATTGCACTTAGATTAAAACCTATTTAATGGCATTGAGCTAGCTGATTTTCACTTTTCGAAGCTTTCTTGGGTTTTTCGTGGTTAGCTTAAAGACGTATTAGGCGAGATATGGTTTTGTTTTGGGAATAATGAGGAGAGGAAATTCGCCGACTTGGAAAATTCTGGCAAGATTCAGAGAAGTAGTAAAAGCTTGCAGTTCGCACGGCTGAAACCTTATTCTTCACATAGCCCTTGTGAACATACTAGAGAGTTCCGATTCCCTGTCAGTATGGACTTCTGAACTCCAGTTCCCCTCTGCCTTGCGTGTATGAGGAAACTTCAAGTGTCTGTGTTGGGGGGCGCCCTGTCAAAGGCATGAGCGCCTCATCTCGACCGTTTTCTCATTAGTCACCTGAAGTTCGTAACCGCACCGATGTTTCCGCTCGAGCAGATGGTGTAAATCAGCATTTGCCGTGCCTGTTGAGGTTCGGTCTTACGAGCACGATATCTTCAGGTAGCGTAAACGAAGCAATTAGTGAACGGCCATTCACTAACTGCGTTGCGGAAGTGAGGATAAAGCAGCAAACATTCTTATGTGAATTGAAGTAGGCGCATATCTCGGGCCTTTGAGCGGGTATCCAATTTGAAGCATTGACCCACTTCGAATTGAGGGGAGAGGGGGGTAACCGTAATGATGGCGTGGAGAAACCGTGTCCAGACGAATTTTTGAACGCATCCCCACCAACGTGACGAGGCTGCCATATCTATGAAGTGCTATCGGCTATCTCATCGCTATGTCGTATTGCCACATTGCGTGAGGAGATGCACGAGGTATCTCGTCCTCTAAGGAGCAGCGATACAAAATTGATGTCGAAGGACTTAGAGGAGAAGTGGTGGTTCATGAGACGGATTCCGCGGGGCGAAACAAAGGAGCCATCCGATAAAAAAACAGAATGGGACTTCCTTTTTTGGTTTTAACTCATGAACAGGCGACAGCTCAGAAGCGGGCGTATGAATGAGTTCATCGCAACACGCTTAGCACTCATTGTCAAACCAAATGTCAAACCATACTTCAATTGGGGGGGGGGAGGGGGGTGGGGGGGGGGGGTTGCCCAGTTGTGGGGCTGTTGCTGGTACGCTTGCTCGTCAATCACGCGGATAACTAGTGGGCGGATCGCTTTTGGGGGCGAAGTGCTTCCGAAGTCTTGCTCAGCATACTGGGAGCCTTCCGTAGTGCAAGCGCTACATATTGCTTCCCTGGCAGCCAAGTGTCTGGTTGTATGGTGCATGTACTTCCCCGATGCGCTCCACTTATGCGTAAATCGCTGCCTTTAGGTTCACATTTGCCGCCACCAGATCACTTTATAAGTCCCTAGCGCCAACGTTGCGCATCTTCGATCCGCGACAACGGCACATATGTGATACTCAATGGGCGACTCTATACACCAAACCAGATTCTTTTGTCACAATCTCATCGCGGGTTGTTCAAATGAGGAAACCTTATAATCGTGGGACGCAATCACTACATTACACCTACGTAGACGGAATTCTACTGTAGAATTTCAGGTGGACATGACATCCTCGAGCTTCATTTCTTTTTATCCAATTTTCGAACTCTCTCGAATTAGCCGACACATTGCGAGGCTTTGAGTGAACGTGCTCCTGCAACTTTCTGCTTGTGTTTGTCCTCACAAAGCCTGATTGCTTGGGTGTAAATTAGCAACCTATTGAAGGCTGCATGACTCAAAGAGGCGCCATGCGTCATCACTGCGACCGCAGGCGGTTTAGGGAACAGCGCTACTCAGGCCTAAAACGCTGGAACATGTATGCCTCTACCGGCAGCTCCTACCTTTGCTGCGCCTCCTCCCTTACTCTCTACTCGTTTAAGGCTATAATTAGTGAATCATAGCCACCGAACACGCAGCAAATACTACTCTGCAGTATTCCACGGGAATGTCATTCACCGGTACAGCCTGTTTCACCAGTACCAGCGCCTTCGATCTTCTGATATTTCTATAAGAGGCTATCAGCACCCCGCATTTCCCATTACAGGTAGGACAGTCAGAGAAGCCTGACTACAAATCCTTTGACTGTTGTAGAGGTCGGCGCCATAGATCTCCAGTAGTTGGCTGAGGCAGCTCTTCAAAAGCGCTGCTAAAGTAGCCACTCTTACTTTCTGCGCTCTATGAATTCCGAACGGCACTGCCCGACAAAAACGCTGAGAGATCCTGGGGCCGATTTTTAGCTCTTAGCATATCCCCTGCTCAAGCCATATACAGGGGTGGCCAAAAAAAAGAGAGAAACTTCACCCTACATTTCAGGCAGCATTAATCACACTTTGCTGAGCTCAAACCGACTGTTGCAACTCACGTATTAACACGTTGACGACAGCGCGCGTTTTGGCTTTTTTGGCCGCGTGGGACCAGCGCGATTTTGCGAGCGCAACCGCCTCAGGTCATTCCAGCGCATTTCGAATGGTAAACACATAAAAAATGACTGATACAAAATTAGTTCAGTGACTTTCATCGAGTAGAACGGAAATTTAAGGTCGTTGTATATAAGTAGAAAACTATCCAAGGAATGGTACAGTTGTGGAAATTTGATCGAAAGATGCGAAATACGAATGAAAAAGCAAAATTTGCCAGACTTATCTACAACGGACCTTAAAATCCGTCCTACCTGGATTGCTGCGATCAAACACATATTCTTGTCTTCCCGTATTTAATTTTACCACTCTTTTGAACCTCACACTTATCGAATGAAAAGGGAAACAAAAAATTATCTGAACTGATATATTTAGTAACGTTCAGAAATCTTCTTCTAAGTTGAAGCATACGTAACCCTTATTCGAGCCACTATGTTTGTAGCTGTGCTAGGGTCTCTTCTATAGAACAAACACAAGAAACTTACGAAATTGATCACGCGTGCGCGGAAAAAATTGATGTAATGGGTGCAGGACACATACGTCCCGCGCTGTCCGTCATGGCCTGCAAAGTGCGGGACGTATGTGTCCTGCGCTGTCGTCAACGTGTTAAAAGGCACTTGCCCCATCTATCAGTAACAATGTCGTATAGTAACTCACTAATGCTGACGCACAAGAATTTTGCCATGCAACGCCTGGCGCAGTTCGAGCTGCGAGTGGTTCCCGAAGGATCATGCGAGCATTAACGAAAGTTATCTGAAAAGCTGGATCGGAAAATAGTTCTTCTTGCATATGTAGAGCTACTGCTACTATCTCCTAGGAAGCAATCTGTCAGTTAACGATTGAAGAAATTTCGTAGCAGCTTCAGGCTGGAACGATTACTTTAGGCCTTCTTGAGCTCAACGGTGATGGAAGATGACGTCATATTTTGAGGACGGTGAGGGCAGTGGAAGAGGGCCTGCTTCTACTTATGGGAGGACATCTAAGGGATATTTGCCGTAAAACTTTCATCAACAGCGGCACCCGTGCGTGAAAAGTTTGATGGACACATGGACAAAAAGTCCCTTTTTTGGCCACCCCAGTATGTTCTCCATCCGACAAGATTACGATCACCATCTTAATGACAAAATAACTAGACGATCAACTCCAACTCAAAGTGAGGTCGCCTCCTTTCTCGACCCGCACTCCGCTGGGTTTTGGAAAAGGAGCATCAAGAAATTTTCTGAGCGTTGGAGACAAGTGGTGGACACTCATGGTAGATA